GGGGGCGCCCCAGGAAGGGGCACCCCCTCCCGAAAGACCCACATCCCGACGCTGCCTTTGCCCCCGCTTTTGTCTGCGTGATGGAGTAGCCCCCGCTGCCCGCCGGAGCGTGGCCAGGGCTCACCAGCCCCTTCCTTCCCCCATCCCTCCTTCCTTCTGGCTGGGCTCGGCCCCACTGCCCTGACAGCCCCCTCAGCACCGCTGGAAAAAAACGGTCCCCTCACCGGCAGCGTGGCCCTGCCTCACAGGGCAGCCGGGGACCCCGTGCCCCTTTGCCCTTCGCTGAGCAGAGGCACGTGGGAGCGGCGGCACCTCTGCGGTCACCGTGCCCTCGGTTGCTGCTGCTCCAGCGCTTGCCCTCCTCCCCGCTCCCCGGCGGTGAGCCCGTTTTCTCCCACACCACGATAATAATAATCCTGACGGGTGCTTACGTGCCTGCCTGCGAGCACCCATAGGTGCTGCTCCCCGCTCGCTGATGTGCACGGCCCACCCCCCCCAGCACACGCTGTTCCTGCTCAGTGTTCGGCTGGACGTGACCGAGCTGTCAACCTGCCTAAAGGCAGGGACCTGGCAGGGATGATGGTTCCCATCGCCACCAAACCCCTCCCTGCATCACCGTGTTGGGGTGCCACCATCCCCTGACCCTCCCTGGTGGCTGCGAAGCCAGCAATGGCCGGGGGTCGGCATTGGCCGTGATGCACGTGCTCCCGCGAGTGCCACGTGCCGCAGGCAGCTGGCCGCTGGCTCCGCACGTCCTTCCTCCTCCCTGGGGCACCCCGCTGTGGGGCGGTGTGGGGTGGCGCGGGGGCTGAGCTGCCTGGACTCTGCAGCCGATTTGGGGTGGGCAGGAGAGGGGGGATGCCAGCGGATACCCCGTGACCTCGAGGGCGTCAATGCCGCGGGGCTGCAGCATCCGTCTCCCGCCCTGGGGTGCCCAGCAATGCCATGGGGGGGTGCGGGTTTGCAGTCGTGGGGGCGACGGCGGGGGCGCGCATGGGGCTGGGCACGGCTCCCCGCCAGCTGCGGGCGCCGCTGCGTATGTGGAGCGAGTCGCCATGGGAAC